TCTCTCTCTCTCTCTCTCTCTCTCTCTCTCTCTCTCTCTCCTCTTTTGTATCATATTATAATATTCGTCTATCACAACTGTTAATTCTTCTCAATAAATTAACGATAATTTTATTCCACGAAATTCTATTATTTGTATAAAATAAAACCATATAGAAAAAAAAGAAGTAATAGTTGATACATCTCGTCATTTTGTCAAATAATCGAATAAATAAATAGTAAATGTTAAGGCCATTATGCTGGGGTCTGTGTATAGATCTTTATTTATATTGCAACGACAATTTCAGCTCATTTGACGGCGGTATGTTTATTTGTTAATAGACTGGGCAGAGACAGCATCACCAGGAAGCGAGCCGCGGTGCTACGGATTTCCATTTTCCGTGGAGTTCCAAGCCGCGAAATTCGGACGCGCAATATCCGTTCCGTCGCATCCGGTGCCATCAAAATCTCTTTAAACAGCACAAGGTGGCTGCCGCCGCAAAGTGGCAAAGCGGCTCAAAGCAACGAGCGACAAGAGGCACATTCGCACACCTGCTCTTGGCCGTCTATCAGCATACGTTCGCACTCGCGCCGAGCTCCGCTCCGAGCGAGTGTAAAAAAGATCGGGAGAGCTACGTGATCGGCACGTACAAAGGTGCATAGGGGGATAATAAATCTTTCCTCCCGCCTTGTCCCCTCCTTGAAAAGGAGCTACAAGAAGGGACTGAGTCGCATTCAACGAACGAATGGTGAGCGCATTGTTACCTGTACCTCCCTCGGCCGAGCAGGCCGCGAGCAGTACTCTCCGCATCGGGAACCCAAAGACGCGATTCTCGTGTGTAGTATATAACGCGCGAGATCGCTAGCGCGATATTTTTATTAAAAGGATTATCTGTACCACAGGCGCTGGAAAATGGAGAGGAGCAACGGCGCTCGCTATTACAACGGGGCGTAAAATTCATTAGAACGGATTCGAGGGAGAACGAGCACACCAACGAGGAAACGTGTAGTAGTGTCCCTAGCCAACCTGGATGGGGTTAGGATGTATGGCAGAGCGGCTAAAAGTAGGAGACACGTATATTTTTTTTAATGAACTTTCTCATATGTGCAAGTGTTGAAGCAACCTCTCAAATTAAGGTAAAATTGAACGTGTGCGCTACACAGCGTTGCAATAAGCGCAATAAAATAATAGTCGAGTCATACGAGAGCGTAATTTTTATATCATTTGCAAATAGAATATATATGTAACACAATAATTATATGTAATATAACAGTTTACTGTAAAAAATTGCATTACACAATACTAAATATCTCTTCTTATACTCTCTGTATTATATTCTATATATATTTTATTACATATGCGCGTGCGAGGGTGAAAATTTGTCTCCTGTATTAAATACATTAAATATTTTATACTGTTCAAAAATATATAAAGTAATAATAAAAACAGGTTAAAAAATTGACTTATTTCTTTTTTATTTGTTATTTCTCATTTACCTCGCATATCATGCTTTTCTAATACAAATCCTCGAAATTAAAGAAATCTGGTTTGTCGGTTTTCGCATTCTGGTATCAAGAGAACATGAAGAGGTAGCAGGAGTTTTTGGCGGGAACTCGGAATACCTCCTCGCGCACAACCTATGTTCCTAATACAAATCCTCGAAATTGGAAAAATCTAGGTTTGCCGATTTTCACATTTTGGTATCAGGAGAATATGAAGATCAAGGAGGTACCAGGAGCTTTTGGCGGGAATTCGAAATACCTCCTCGCACATTCTATGTTCCTGGTACAAATCCTCGAAATTGGAAAAATCTGGTTTGTCGATTTTCGCATTCTGGTATCAGGAGAACATAAAGATCCAAGAGGTAGCAGGAGCTTTTGGCGGGAACTTGAAATACCTCCTCGCACATTCTATGTTCCTGGTACAAATCCTCGAAATTGGAAAAATCTGGTGTGTCAATTTTCGCATTCTGGTATCAGGAAAACATAAAGATCCAAGAGGTAGCAGGAGCTTTTGGCGGGAACTTGAAATACCTCCTCGCACATTCTATGTTCCTGGTACAAATCCTCGAAATTGGAAAAATCTGGTGTGTCAATTTTCGCATTCTGGTATCAGGAAAACATAAAGATCCAAGAGGTAGCAGGAGCTTTTGGCGGGAACTTGAAATACCTCTTCGCACCTTCTATGTTCCTGATACAAATCCTCGAAATTCGAAAAATGTTTGCCGATTTTCGCATTTTGGTATCAGGAGAACATGAAAATCAAGGAGGTACCAGGAGCTTTTGGCGGGAATTCGAAATACCTCCTCGCACATTCTATGTTCCTGGTACAAATCCTCGAAATTGGAGAAATGTTTGCCGATTTTCGCATTTTGGTATCAGGAAAACATGAAGACCTAAGAAGTAGCAGGAGCTTTTGGCGGGAACTCGAAATACCTCCTCGCACATTCTATGTTCCTGATACAAATCGTCGAATTTGGAGAATCCAGTTTGTCGATTTTTGCATTTTGGTATCGGGAGAATATGATATGAAAAGGGCTAACAAAATTTTTTACCGAAAATTCGAAATATCTCTTCGCATATCATGTTCTCCTGTTACAAATTTACGGAAATAGAGAATTTGAAATTGCCAATTTTCACATTTTGATATAATGTCCGAAGAGAATGCATAAATTCCCGGAGGGAAATTAGGCAAACTATGGCTATTTGTTGGAAAGGTATAAAGACAAATGAGGAATAATAATAAATCTATATGAAATAAGCGTATGCAAAAAAAGTTTATTATTCAGTCTTAAATTTTACATCTGATAGTACATTGGTAATAGAAATAGAAAATTGTCGTAGATAATAGATTTCGTGAAGAGGATAATAGCTGTTTGTATATTACGAGTATTGAAAATAATATATTTATATATTTTTGCAAACATATAATAAATTTCGCAGATAATAGATTTCGTGAAGAGGATAATAGCTGTTTGTATATTACGAGTATTGAAAATAATATATTTATATATTTTTGCAAACATATAATTTATTTTACAAGAATTTTTGTCTCGTCTTAAAAGCTTAAATTTTATGATGATTAAGTCATACAATTAATTATATTAAGTCGCAATTGCAATACAAGAAGTCTCTCGAAATCCAGGCAAGAGAGAGAAGTCTCCGTAATAAAGCTAAGTTATATAGTGCTAATTAGAGATTGAGTCATAAACTTCTATTAATAAACTTAATTAATAAATAGTCTCCGAAATTCACGAATAATCAAATAAGATATTAACACAATATATAATAATCTCAGCGTGTATTTCGACGTTCGCTCGCGGAGGTGTACACGTATATCGCTCTTAATCCTTTTAATTGAAGGAGCGATTATCCGTTGGTTCGCAGCCAGTCGTGTATGTCCTCGTCGTGAAAGTACTCATTCTTCCAAGGAAATGTTTGGAAAATAATTTCAGAAAATAACGCACTAGGAAGCGCATGTGAAGAAGAAATACACGTCTCTTATTTTTACGATGTGTCTCTTATTATTCATCGCGGGACATACATTTAACAATCACATCCCGGGCGCGTCGTAAAAGACTCCGTTTCAGCGGGAGTCTCACTTTCCCGGCCGGAATATTCATTCGTATCTGCCGTCGTGTCTGGCGAAACTTCTTTCCGGCCGGAGAGTCGGCTTCCGGTACTACGAAATTCGCGAGAGCTCCGCCGCCATCGACTGCGCGGACTAACTCAAAGGACAAAATCAAAGAGACAAGGAAGCAGGAAGAGAGGAAGGGTCGTCGTCGGCGCTGGCTGGCTGGCTGGCTGGCTGGCTGGCTCGCTCGCTCGAGGCGTTTCTTGGCAGAGAAGATTCTCTTTCCCGCTGGCTCGTAATCCGCAGGACGGAGACGTCTTAATTGGGGATTAAGGGTGAAAGAAAGCGCGGGTCACTCTGTTACGATCGCCGGCGGTGCAGCTTCCAGTGACCCTCCCGAGATTAATGCCACGTATTTGTCCTGGACCTAACGATGCACGTCGTTCCACTCTATCGAGAAAGTTTGAGCGTATCTTCGAGCGTTTCGCGTTAGGGAGGAGGTGAGTAAGCCGCGTCGTTGGACGTACGCTGGCTAAATCGTCGTTCGCGGTTGAGCTCGCAGGAGAATTGATTGTAAGATGCCGCGGCGTTTCCGCTTTTGTCTGTAACACTGTCTCTTCAGGATCTGTCGGTCGTGACGAATAAAAATGGTATACTACGGGGGGAATACTTATTGTCGCCACCGTCGTCGTCGTATATTTTAATATCGTTAAGTGCATAACGTGACATTTCTCTTTACCTCTCTCTCTCTCTCTCTCGCTCTCTCACGCTTATGGTGCGGTAAGAAGCATTCCAAAATCGGACTCCCGTAACGGAAAATATACAAAAGTAACTTCTCGCGCGCACTCGATCGGGTAAACAGCGCGAAACTTCCCCATGATTTCATTTCATAATTATGTTTGCATTCTCACGAGCGCGCAATGCATTTTCTCAAGAATTTCTCCGACGTAACAGCGGCAACTCGTGAGGCGTTCTCGGAATATTCATCTACTTCCGAGTCTCGTCTTGGATATTTTGTTGCCTGCTTGCACGAATTTTGTCTCGATTGTCACAGCAGCAGCAATCAACGACGACGACGAGAGATTCTCGTAAAAAGGTGATCCCGATGTCGCATTCGAGAGATAGTAAACCGCCGGCCACCGTCGCCGTGACCGCTGCCACGACGAGTTAAGCTTTAATTCACACGTGTCTGAATTCTAATATAACTTTATACGGAGTAATAAACACACGCGAGTTTATAAACGCGAGAAGCGAGCCAACATACGCCGGCGAAAGTTGAATTAATAATCATGCGCCAGGTTCGCGCGCATTAAAGATCCACGCGAATTCCGAACTGCGCATCGCGAAGGGCGCAGCGAATGTTACGCGTGCATCGAAATTGCGAAGAGACGCGTCACGGATACCGAACTAAATCGATCCTCATCCAGAGAGAAGTGACGTGACATTAAATGAATTTTTAATTCTTCTTTCGCGGCGGAACGAGGACACGTTCAAACAACCTTTCCTTTAAATAGCCTATAGAGAAAGTACACAACGATCACACAAATATAATGGTGCATGGAATATAAAACTCGTCATATTAATGAAATCATGATACGTTATATAATGTAATATCGCGAGTATGTATCGAGAGGGAGAGAGAGAGAGAGAGAGAGAGAGAGAGAGAGAAAGAGAAAGTGGAATAGAGACAGAAAGAGAGGAAGCAGAGGTGAGCTATTGAATTTATTTCTCATAATAGCGCATTATGCGAAAGTTCGAGCACACATATGTGGCCGCTAGCTCCGCGGTATTAACGCGAGCTCAAACGGTGAGGAGAAAGATGCACGCGTTACGCCCGAAAAAGGAAGTTAATGCGCCGAATTAACGTACGGCTCGTAAAAACGGTCGGGAGCGAGGAGCAAAAAGAGAGAAAGAGGAAGGTAAAAAAGGAAGGAAAGGAAGGAATGAAGAGGAAGAAGAGATGGTCGATGAGAGCAGCACTTGGCTTGCCGACGCACGTTAAAATATTCCCCGCGAGATCGTCGGCGGATTTGTTTTCCTTTAAACTTTTGTTAGCCGGGTTTCCGCTCCGGAAGATATCCGGCGATTGAATCGGGCGGTCGATCCATTTTTCACGGGTCAATAGAGAAAGAGTAAAGCCCGGGCCCTTCGCCTCGTCCTCCCGCCGATACCCAAGAGAAAGAAAACTTTCATATCGAAGGTATTCGCACGCAAACGCTCTATTTGCCCGGCCGCTCCGCGCCCGGCATTAACGAACTTCGCGATCCGACCGACGCCGGGGAATTTTCGCGATTTTTCAGAGCGGCCGCCGGCGCCTCATAAACAACTAATAGCTCTAACTGCATCCAACTGCTACAGTCGCGCCTTCGTGGGGAAAGGAAGAGTAAAAGAGAGCAGAAGACGCTCGTTTGTTCGCTCACGCGCCCGCCGCTTCGCTAATTGGCTCTCCGATCGAGCCACGGCGACGGCGAACTTTCGCTCAGAGCCGTCGGGGATGCGCCAGGTCGACCGGTGCGTTTTAAACGGAGGGTGGTTTAATCTTCGCGAGTTGTACGCGGCGTTTCGTGAGCTCTCCGCGGCGACGACGGAGGCGACGGCGGAGGAGCCGGAAACGGCGGCGCGGGGACAATTCGACCAAGTGTTAACACCGCGCGGTTCGCGCAAGTGCAACTTTAGTTAGCCGCGCTTAATTGCGCGCAATTACCCGAAATGGCGAAGTAACGACCGGCTGGCCCTGGCCGGCTACTAGCGGCAGCTACTTGTCGGCTCCGCCGACAGAGCGGCACGCTCGGCTTTTTCGCAAACTCGCCGACAGTGTATCTCTCTGTCTCTCTCTCTCTCTCTCTCTGTTTCTGTCTTCGAGGGCGCCGGCCGCTTTCGGCGTCGCTC